GATTAAATTATATGGAATTGATCGTAATAAGGAACATTCTGGTAAATTGATTCAATCAATTTATTTACATTGTCCAAATTTACGTTACGTTACAATTTATGTAGGGTATCAGGATTATATAGAGGTAGAACAGTTATTAAAATATTGCCAAAAATTAGAAGGGATCGTTTTTTTAAATTCTTTTAAAGCGAAAGGCAATAAACTTTTAGACTTGTTAGTAAAGTCGGCACCACCTAATCTTCACAAAATTAAATTAGATAATGGATGGGGAGTTACGAAAGGAGATTTGGAAAAATTTTTTAACGAATGGAGAGGACATAAACCTATTCTTTTACAAACTCATAAGAAATTTCATGACATTGAAAAATTTAAGATGGAAGGTATAGTTAAAGATTATAAATATAAGAAAATATATCGCGTTGGTATAACATCAAAAAATCTTTTTAAGTGGTAAAAAAAAAAAGAAATTTTTATTATATTACTTTTTTTTTGATGTGATAACTTCATATATATCTTCATTCATAATTATTTTGAATAAAGGACCGTGAATATATTTTAACTAATTTGTTTTTAATTTCTCATTTTGACCATTGATCCCTATTATTGTAAAAAAGTAATGTACTGTAATTTGAATGAATGAAATTTAATTATAACCACAATTTAAAATACTATATAATTCCAAAATATTATTATCGCAAAAAAAAAAAAAAGATAATATAGAGTCGACAAAAATCGGAAACGTCAGTGAGAAAGATATAAATGTATAATGAACCCATAATTATCATATTTCCAGACATTTGCGACTCAACAAAAGTGAGATGATAGGACCGGAATTTATCATCATCTTCTTCGTCGTAACTTATAGTTTTAAATTTAATAATTCCTAAATTTTCATATTGTTCAATTATTTTCATACTCTCTTCATCTTCTTCCAAACTAATACTATTATCCTTAATTATTAAAGTAAGTGATTTCTTTGGTGTTCGATTTTTCCAGCTTATAAAAGGACTCCAAATCCTCTGGAAACAATTCTGAATCGTTAACATTATATATTTTTAATTCACGTTGGTGAATATTTTGTAACAGTTTCTAATACTTCTTTTTCATTTAAATGTGTATAATTTCCACACCAAGTTTTAACGCTTTCTAAATATTGACAATTATTAAATATAATTTTAATGTATTTAATTCACCATTATTAAATATCGTAAAAAGATTTTTCAGGGTTTTCACTCTCCAGACTTTCAAAGATCCGAAAGCCCTCCAATCTTAATCAATACATCCCGAATTCTTTGCCCGTTAACCAATCTGAACCCTAATCCTGACTCTAATCCTAATCCTAATCCTAAGAATTACCCAGAAAAAGAAAAGTAGTAATATTAATATTGATTCAAAAGCCAACCGCAAGTGAATCCTTTTCGGAATTCGCATTGGAACTCATCGTATGCAATATTTCCGGTTACTCTCGTTAACGGTGGTTAACAATTCTGCAAGGACAGTATCACTATTTTTCATATTTGTATAAAATCCTTTAAGATTTTTTTTAAAAATTTCACTACATACTCAGGTTTTGGACGTCGATAAGGAATGCTTAAGATTTGTAATTTTGGGAAAGTTACATGTTGTAACTTTACAAAATCTTTAAAATTTGAACCACCAAGGAATGAAATCTAATTTCTTGTAGATTTGGAAACGAAGCAACAAATGATAATGGTAAAATATCAGTTTCACTATTAAGGTGTAATTTTATTAATGTACTAGAATGTTTCTTTAAAACAGGTATGATATCAGTCCAATTACTCTTATCAAAAGCTAATAATCTTAAATTCTTTAAATTATTTGTAATGAAATTAATTCTTTTAACTCAAGTGAAATGCCAAAATTCCTAGTTTCAATATCTATAGTAAGTGATTGTAAATTATGACATATTTGAGACAGCTGATAAAAAATTCAGAAGAAAGATTTGAACTGCAATGTAATTCTGAAAGATCTAATAAACAATCTCTTGCCTCAGAAAAACAAGTAGGAAGAGATTTCGTTCATAAGCATTTTGATAACTTCATTTATGACTAAATACTTTTTATCATCTTCAAGAACCTCATCAATTATTAGACAAATCTGGTCAATTGAAAGAACTTTGCAAAATGTTGCATAGTTAAATAGTGGTGATTTTGAAGTAGACGTTAAAATGAAAATTCTATTCATATATAAGAGCTCTTTTGATTCATTGGGAAGACAAATAACTAACGCACTAAGAATTGCTGAATCTACTTTAAATCGATGCTGATAAGCAATGGAGAATTTAAAATTCCAAATATCCCTCCATAAAATTCTAACAGAAGATTTACACCAAAGATTAACTAACAAACATGAATGTAAAGCGATTTTATCTTCTTCTAAATATTCAAAATTTTTCGTTTAAACAGTCATATGGAAATTGACAAGACATTTTTTGGTTTAATTATTTCAAAAAAAAAAGTTCCAAAAGCCTAAATATTTTTCGGATGTATATTCGAATCAATGTTCGATGAGTCCATTCTCAATCAGCATGATCCTAATAGACTGACCAATAACAAATATTATTTATTTCTTTAATAAATTTCTCAATAAAATATATAAAAAAGTTTCATAATAGAAAATTTTGTAGACCAGAATTAAACCAGTATTACAAAGCACATGATCAAAATTTAATTTATTAGTCTTCATCATAAAACTTAGTTTCAAATTTTATAACACCTAAATTTTCATATTTATCAATTATTTTCATATTCTCTTCATCATCTTCTAAACTATTATAATCTTCCTTAATAATTATTAAAGTAAGTAATTTTTTCGGTATTCGATTTAACCAGCTTATAAAAAAGGTTTCTAAATCCTTTGGAATTAATTTTGAAATTGAATTATTATACATTTTTAATTCACAAAAATTTTTTGGTGAATGTTTTGCAATAGTTTCTAATACTTCTTTTTCACTTAAATATGTATTTCCACACCAAATTTCAATACTTTCTAAATATTGACAACTATTAAATATAATTTTTAATATATCTAATTCATCATTTTTAAATATTGTAAAAAGATTTTTCAGATTTGGACAAAATTTGGCTATAGTTAAATTTAAACCATTATTACTTTTAGCTATATAAATTTCCTTTAGATTCTTTCCATTATTTTCTAAAAATTTCATCATACATTCAAGTTTCGGACATTGATAAGGAAAATTTAAGATCTGTAATTTGTGAAAATTAACATATTGTAATTCATTAAAATCTTCAAAATGTGGATAACCAGCAGATGAAACAAATGAAAATTTAATTTCCTGTAAATTTGGGAATAAAGCAACGAATAATAATGGTAAATTACCATTATTACTAGAAAGATGTAATCTTGTTAACGTATTAGAGTGCTTTATTAAAGCAGGCATGATATCTGTCCAATCACCCCCTTTAAAAGCTGATAATGTTAAATTCTTTAAATTATTTTGTAATAAAATTAATTCTTTTAATTCAAATGAAATGCCAAAATCCATATTTTCAAAATCTATAGTAATTGATTGTAATTTTTGGCATATTTGAGACAACTGATAAAAAAATTCAGAAGAAAGGTTTGAACTGCAATGTAATTCTGAAAGATCTATTAAACAATCTCTTTCCTCAGAAAAACAAGTGAAAGATATTTTATCCGGAATGCCATTATTTGAATAATAAGTCAATATCTTTAAGGAAGAGATTTCGTTCATAAGCATTTTGATAACTTCATTTACGACTAAATAATTTTTATCTTCTTCAAGAACCTCATCAATTATTCGACAAATTTCGTAAATTGAAAGAACTTGACAAAATGCTGCATAATTAAACAGTGGTTGTTTTGAAGTAGGCGTTGGAATGAAAATTCCATTCTTATATAAGAGCTCTTTTGATTCATTGGGAAGACAAGCAACTAATATACTAATAAGAATGGTTGATGTCACTTTCGGTCGATGTTTGTAGGCCATGGAGTACCTAAGATTCCAAATATCCCTCCATAAAATTCTAACAGAAGATTTACACCAAAGGCGGTTAACTAACAAACATGAATATAAAGCGGTTTTATCTCCTTTTAAATATTCAAATATTTCACTTAAGCAATCATATGGAAGTTGACAAGTCATTTTTTTTTTTTAAAAAAAAAAAATTGCGTTTGAAGTTTAAAATCAAATTTTCATATAAAAGTACTGTATGTACATTTGTGTAATAAATATTACGTAGTTTTTTTTCGTGACGTCATAAATTCACAAGTCATAGTAAGATAAAGAAAATTTCATTATCAAAAAATTGAAACCTTATCCTAAAATCGGTAAATTTTAATAATACTTAAATTTATACAGTATATTTTTTATTTCTTAATCATTTTCGTATTTTATTTATATTCTAAACTAACTAATCAAGTATTGATGTTCGATTTAAAAAAAGTATTCTAAATCCTCTGAAGTAATTAAATTACGAGAAACCGAATCTTAATAAATATATTTCGAACGGAAAAAAAGATGGCGTTTATCGCAAAAAAAAAAAAAAAAAAAAATTTTTTCTTATTAATATTATCTATTTATGTCTATTAATTATCACCGATCTGTTGAAGTATCATAATTAAAAAAGCTTAACTATATCTGATATATTGATTATTATAAATGCTAAAATTATTTATAAAATGTATAGACTGAATATTGCGCCACTTCGACACGACATTCTTTCCCCGAATTTAGAAATTGAAAAGTAGCTCAATTTAATGGGAACCAATTCTTTAGGAAAATGTTTTTAATTTATATCAGTGTTATATTCTAAATTGACAATCGACATACGACAATCTTTATTATTTTCATTCACGGAAGTTTTAAAACAAATTTTTTAACGTTTGCATGTGCACGTGAAAAATAAAAAAAAGAGAGGTACTACACAATTATTTCCTAATTGATCAAACCAATTTTAATAAGTAAAATAAAAAAAATAGTAATTCAAGAATTCGGGGGTCTAGCTCAGATGGTAGAGCGCTCGCTTAGCATGCGAGAGGTACTGAGATCGATACTCAGGTCCTCCAATCTTTCTTTTGAATTTTTTTTTTTTTTAATATTTCAGAATCTGAGCTCATTTTTCAACAACTAAAAAAATTGATTTTTTTACTTTTATATACCGCAGAATCAACAACATTGAACTTCAGCTAAAGAATTCTATCCATTTCAAAAAAATGGTATGAATCGTTGATAACTTGATATATCGATTTTAAACAAAGAATTTTGTGTCACATGAAATACTTTGCCATTTTTCATCCAAATAATTTTAATAATAATAAAATTTTGAATAATAATATACTTTAAGATTAGATTTGACTATATTTCCAAAAAAGAAATTTACAATATATTAACATATTTGTGAAAAAGAAAAATTAAATGAGGTTCCTTTCCTATGCATCATTAATGTTGTACAACAGTAGTAGGGGATTTAATTTCACGAAAGTGATACCGATTGAACGATTGTGTCTATGTAATATTATTACCACAAAAAAAAAAAAATTTTCTTTATAAAAGCATCAACTTTATAAAGATTTTTTTTTTTAAAAAAAAAACCAAAAATTTATTTCCATTCATCTAATTTATAAAATTTACAAACATATAACAAAATTTTACACTTTTATAAAAATTGATAATTATTTTAAAAATATTGACATTTGTAAGGAGTATATTAATCTCTCCGAAGAAGCAAATCTAAGTACAAATTACCCTTAATAAAAAAATTTGACTCTAAGCTTCAAATGTTCTTTAAGATGATAATAAATACTTCTTACAAACAAATTAGACAAATTATAAAATTCTTCGCGCATTTTACGCAACTACACCGATCACTTACTGATTTAGATAATAACGAACAGTGATCATGGGGCAATCCATGCCCCTAATGAACGTGTTGCTTCAACTTCACAATTCTACGTTCTAGTTGGGTCACATTTCTAATCATCCAGTTAAAGAAAATAATTCCCCAATCTTAATCCTAACTTTAATCCTAATCTTAACCCTAATCTTTAACCCTAACCTTAAACCTTTAACCCTGACCCCAACCTTAACCTTAACCCTAACCCTAACCTAATAATAAATACAACAATGTCACAATATATTAAAACGAACACACTATTATAACACTCTTTTTTATTTTAATCTTTGGAAGTAATATCTTTTATAGAACTATTTTTATTATTATTATTATTATTATTTTTAATAAAATTTACCATTAATTGCCTAAAAAGTTTGACAAAGATACTTCATTTTGAACATTTAGTTATTAAAAAAGATTACGTATTGCTTATCTATAAAATCTCGTTAATTTCCACAAATTACTAACTTAAGAAAATTTTTGTCCGAATATCTCCGAAAAATTTATTATCTTACTATATTGGTAATGAATAAAATAAATGTCCTGCTTCCTTCTAAAAAAACGCACAGTTTTCTTTTTCCAATTCTCATAAACTTTGTATAAACCAGAAATATATATAAAAATGTCAGTAAACCCTAAAATAAAAGATTTAAATTATTATAATGATTGGCTAAATAATTCAATTGCGGAAGAACATATCAAATACTATGAATATTCAGACTTCACAAATGTTCAAAAAATAGGAAGTGGTTCATACGGAAATGTTTTCCGTGTTAACTGGAAAAATTCTAATCGTATTTTTGCTTTAAAATTTTTTAATGACGATAAACAAACACTTAAAGGGGTTATAAAAGAGGTACAATATTATAAATATCTATAAATATTTTAAGAAATATAAAATAATTATAATTAAATTATCTTTTACAGTTAAAATTACATCGTCGTGTTGATGATCATGAAAATATTATACGGTTATATGGAATCACGAAGATAGAATGTAAGTTATTAGAAGCATTACATATAATGAATGACTGAACGTATTAATTTACTTACAATTTTGTTTTTATTCAGACGTGATTCATCAAATGAATAAGTACTCTTTAGTCTTGGAATATGCTGATGGCGGTACATTAAATACTTATTTAAATGAACGTTTTAACGAACTTGATTGGAGCGACAAATTTTGCTTAGCATCACAACTGGCAAATGCTGTAGAATTTTTACATGATAAAGATATTATTCATCGTGATCTGGTAATATATTATTTTTTTTTTGTAAATTATTGTTTTCAATTGATTTAAAATTATTAATAATAATTTTTATATAATTAAAGCATTCAAATAATGTACTTGTACATCAAAAAAAGATCAAATTAGCAGATTTTGGTTTATCAAAAAAGATCGCTGAATCATCAAGTAATACATCAAAAATACTTGGTGTAATACCTTACGTGGATCCAAAAATTTTCAATAATCCAAGTTATAAATTAAACAAAAAATCTGACGTATATAGTGTTGGAGTTTTAATATGGCAAATTTCAAGTGGATATCAACCATTCTTTACCGAAAGTGCTAATTATGCATGTTTAATGTTATCTATATTAAATGGTAAAAGAGAACAAATTATTGATGAAACTCCTATTGGATATAGTAAATTATATAAAGGTAATTTTATTAATTAAAAATCATTTTAAACCAATTTTTTTAAAAAAAAGAGGACCAAAAATAATTAATTTTTATTTATCTCATTTAATTTAAGAATGTTGGAAATATGAACCAAATGAACGTCCAAATATGCAAGAAGTTGTTTCAACTCTTAAGGCAATGATTTCGTCCGAACAGAACGATATAATTATTTACGTTAATGAAGAGACAAAGAATCATTCATTGGAAAGATTAAAGAAATCAAAGACCATTTCGAAATCAAGCAATGAAATTATTAGTATAAATGGTGATTTGGATATTAATAATTATAATTTAATATCGCCAAATAATATTGAACAAAGTTCAAAAAAGATTTCTTCAACATCGAATGTATCAAAACGTTTTGGGCTACAAGATAATTTTAAAGAACATTCGATAATACTAAAAGTGATATCACAATATTTTCGAAATTTTATTCTTAATGAATATAAAATAAAAATTTTATTTACTAGAAGAATATTATCAAAAATTTGGATTAAATTAATATATAGTTGTCTTATAAAATTTTTACATAACGGTAATAATTTTTTGAAAAAAATTTTAGATGACATAAATAATAATTTAACTTCATACATAGTTACTTTTCTGTTGGCATTTCAAGCGATAACATTTACAACAAAAAAATAGCTTAAGAATAAAAAATTTTTTTAAAATTGACTTACCGTAGTCTTTGATTTATAAATCACATTGTATGATTTCTCCCAAGCGAGTTACTTAAAATATTTAGCATCGTGTAAAATATTTTGTCCACTTATTTTAGGGGTTTCGGGTATAATTATTGCCAGACACGTGCCAGGCAACAAATGTTAATCTTGTCCGAGTTACTTTGCGGAACCCTGATTTTAATACATCATACATATCAATACAAATTCTTATCTTAATACTTACTTCATTGAAAGAAATTTAGGAAATTGATCCTTGACGGCTTGACACTTTAAAGTTATAAAAATGGGTCAACATTGAAAAAAAAAAAATTATTATTAAGCAAAAATAAATTTATTCAAAAGTGATTAATATTGCATTACATAATTAAATTTTGTTCGATAAAGTAATTATTATCCATCCACTACACAAATTTTTAATTCAATCATATACAAGTCAAACATTAAGCCATAACAACGAACATAACAGCGACGCCACAAATGGCACCAAGAGCAGCTTCAAATTTCTTGAATGAAGCACTAGCGATATGAGTGGGACCAGGAGTGGCGGTAATGGTAATAGGACTGGTTGGACTGGTTGGACTGGTTGCAGTAATCGGTTGAGAAGTTTGAGTAATTTGAGTAATTTGAGTAGGAATTTGCGTAACCGTATCTGAAGTTGAAGAAACAGTATTTTATTTTATTTTGAACTTTGAAACTTTTTTTTTAATAAATCAAAGGGGAAAACTTTGCGTTTTAAGATAAAAGTTTGTTTGATTATTCCTTTCTTACCGGTATCAATTGATGTTGGAGAAGTGGTCACGGTTGGTGTAATTGTGATGACATACGTGGTAGTAACCGTTTGATTTTGTCCTTTAACCAATTCTCCTAAAACGCTAATAAAGAGTGCGACGAAAATCAAGAAAGTAATATTCATTTTGTAACGGATTTTTTAGTGAACGTGCGTAAATAAAAGTTGAGAAGATTTTATTGTGATTATAACGGATGTAAAAAGATTTTCTTGAATGAAAAAAATTTTGTAAAGAGATCTTAAATTTTGGTTATATTTATATAACATAAAAAAATATTATTTATATCGACTCATAATTACGCAATAGTGAAACAAAAATAATCTTTTTTTTTTTTTTTTTGTATATATCAGATATATTCTTTTTTAGTTTATTTATTAAAATTATAAATATGATGTAAAAAAAGTTAACAAAAATAATGATCAGTGATCAAGACGAAAAATTATATCAGATTTTGATTCATTACTACTACAAAGCCACATTTCTGCGTAATAAATTAACCTCGTCAAAATATGCCATAACGAAAATTTTCTTAAAATATATCTCTATCATATTATTAATCACGAACTCAAATCACAGACGATTGATCGCGATTCTGTTTTTATCGGATGCGGCAATGATCAACGCAAAGATAAAGGTTCCCATTGTGTATTCCATAAGTAAAAGGTTTGATACCAAGTGCTTTTAGCGTATCACTTTATCTTTACACCTTTTTTTCAAACATTTTATCAAAGACTGAATCCTTCCTTAGGTTGGAATGTATTGATTTGATAAAATTTATATGTATCAATCATGTGACTTTTAATTATTTTTTTATTATTATATATATAACTTATTCGCTATTTAATGTTTTTTCGTTTTCATAAACAGTTAATCTATATTTTCTCTTTATATTCTACACAGTGAAAATTGATATAACGGAACCATCCGTTCCATTAGTAAAAATTTTAAAAATTCCATTATATCAAGAGTTCCAGTATATAGATTTATTATAGTTTATAATAAACTAAAATTCCACTA